TTTTTTTTTTTTTGTCTACCCTTCGCGCTGAGGGTGGAAATTAATGGAGGTTATTTCCTACGCGAAATCATTCGGCACCGTTTACCAATTCGATCTAATGAAGAAGCTGGAATCTGATGTTTTTTTCCATTTTGTATAATAGCGTTTTGTTTGTTATCTTTTTGGATGTCCGCAGTCAAATGGTACGGTCGTGACGGGGAAAATGTACATGAAACAAAACCAAAAAACGATTTCTCAAAAAGCTTTAATAATCTCACTGAAAATGTGTAAAAAAAAAAAAAATGTATACAATATTCGTCGATAAAACTATAGCCACTTGGTCTTTGTTAGTTTCGCGCTACATCCTGCACCCCTGAATTTCGTTATTTTTTTAGACCAACAGCGTTTCACGTATTTATTTATTCGCTTCAGTATAAATGCCTTAAATACTGAGCCACAAAAATAATGAGCGTCTTTTGCTTTTAATTAAACCGCGCCCAGTCGCTAAAAACCACCTTTTCGACTCACTGCAGTAGACATATATATACATATAAATACGTAACACTAGATACATAGTAGGCTCGTTGATTACATTTTTTTTCATTATCGACTCGGTTTATGTATATATATGTATACGATGCGCGAGAGGGGAATCGATATGAATATTTCTGACGAACGCCGTTGTGCCCAGTGTTATACGATCGGTCGAACGTAACAGTATAAAAAAAATAAGAAATAAAAATTAAAGCCAAGCTCTACGCGCGTCGTTAACATCTATAATTCGTTTCCATTAACGCGCACCCTTCTTAGGGTGAGGTAAGGTATTTCCTTGGCGTAGACAATTTCGTGATATTATTTGTTGGACGCATTATAATTCCTTATTACACGATTGATTTGAATATTACATTGATCTGTTAAAATGACTGTTTTTAAAGATCAATGTCATTTTATAGTCAATCGTTTAATAGGCAATCACATTGAACAAATAGTATCAAAAAATTGTCTACGACGCGAAAATACCTTGTTTCGCTCTATACATTTGTATATTATTCTTGTTAACTTTGAACGAAACATTACGAACACGCCATCACGAACCTGATTTCGTTTCCGTTGACCGCGTGCATCGTAATATACAAAACGCGTTAAATGACCGACCGCATTGTGGGATGATGATGACCCTTTGCCGGATCGTCAATTTTTTCCGAATCGCCCAGTCACAACCCCCCCCCCCATTCGGTTAGTAATTCCCGTCTGCACTGGACTCCCCGCGGTGACTTTTGGTGTTTTCCACGTGCAATCGTTCAGGATCTACAGGATCGTTATCAACCGTACACAAACGGCCGTAAGTATAATGTACTACTATTATTTAATTTAACGCGGAATCGGTCGTTTTAAGACATAATGACCCAGATGTTCACGTGATACAACACGGTCATACGGAAACATTAATCGGGGAGTACGTAAATATTTATTTTTAGGAAACTGTCAAACGCGTTTCTGGCAACCGCTTAACTTTATGGTCGGGCATCACGCGACGTAAAAGTAATGTACCATATTATTGCGTAAAATTAATTATTCTCCAACGGTTTCGTATGGGTCGGCAAGAATTCTTATGGACTGTTCGAAATTCTTGCACCCAAATGGCATCGAACGCACGACCGATGTAGGACAAAAGAGGCTTTTGCGTTGGGCAAAAAAAAATACAAGTCGATGATTAGTTAATATCGTGTTATATTATGTAAACGTTGACCATACTTTGAGATTGAATCTTTTAATAATCGTTTATGATATTTTTTAATTATAAGCCACCGAGGATCCGACGGGGAGATGAGCGAAGGAGTATGATTAATGCGCTTTTTATAAATAGCTAATATTCGTTGTTCGGATCTGGGGAGCCTGTAAGATAAATCGAGAAGACGGCGAAATAAAAAAAAATGAACGAAATCACATGATTAAAAACCGTTTCATAAAGTGGCAAAAGAAGGGAGCATTGTGTGTGCCAAGTGCGGATGATGTAGGAAAAATTGTTTGCGCCGGGTGCTGCGTCAGGTGGTGGACGGAGAGCGTGTGGCGGTGTCGGCTGGGGAAGTAATTTAAGATGCTGCGAAGAATTGACGTGAGGGAGTGAGGTCGCGTGAAAAAAATAGAATGGGAAACTGTGCTTGCGTTTGTGTTCAAGTGAGAGGAGAACGGAGGGGGGTACAGAAAGAGAGATTGAGGGAGGGAGAGAGAGAAAGAACGATAAAGACAAAAGTAACGAAGAAAAAGATTCAGTTTGTCGAGAAGCTAAAAATGAATCGGTATAAAGGGTGGAAAATAAACTGCGTATACCCGACATGATAACAGCGGCTGGCCCCTTGTTATAATCGGACCTTAACGACTTCGGTTCCCTCTTTAAAAAAAAAAAAAAAAAGTATGTATAACAAATCTTTTGACGTTGTTTTCCCGTGTTGTTGTTGCTCTTTTTATTTTTATTTTTTCCTATCTTCTCAACGACGCTTATATGCATGTGTGTCGCATTGTGTGTGCATATAATCATAATCTTATAACTTCATATTATCTATCATTGAACCATTGTATGAACTACTATTGATAACATCGCGTTACTCACTAATAACAACCGGTTAAAAATTAATTATTAATATTATATTAATAACAATGAAAGAATTCACTTACTGTTATTACGATTTTGAACATATTGTACATCAGTGAATATGTACTTCTTTTCTACTTACAAAAATACAAAAATGTATTTGGCTTTCTAGTATGACAAAATTTCAGTATTAAAAATTAATAATCTATTAAAGTATGTTTAAAACGAAACGAAAAAGCATCGACAAAAATTCGGTAATAATATTGTACTGTGAACATTTCTGTTAAAATAAAAAAAAAACACGGTAACCTGTGTAATTCGAAATGACATACTATCACGGTTTACCACTATAAAAGTTTGATACGGTATGATTAATTGTAAATAAGATTTTTCGGTGAAACCCAAAAGCGCAAATTTATTTTGCGCTTTTGTACCTTAGTAGTAGGATAAAAGTGCAAAAAGAAATCTTGCACCCGTTACACTATTAGTTTCATCTTAAGAATATTAATAATTACTACACATCGTAATGAAACATTTTGTCTTGTAGATGATGAATCATAAATTGTAATTTTCACGACAAAGAATAATTTAGAATATATAGTCAATAACAGATACTATTTTAGGCGATGGTACATTTTATATTTGTCCTGCTCATTTTGAGCAACTTTATACAGTTCATGTTCTACATAAATAAATGTACGTTCAAGTAGTGTATTGTATGTTTCCATCCAAAACAACTGATATTTATGCCAAAATGTAGCATTTAATTAAAACATTATGTACTAACGAATTAAAACCTCAAAATATACTTATGGATTTTAAATTATCTGCTCATAATGGCGTTTTGCGTATTTTTCCAAATTCACAAATTAAATGTTGCCGGTTTCACCTAGGATAAGCTTCGTAGAGACAATTTGGAAAATTGGGATTTACAATTGAATATAAAAAAAATTAATCAGAAATTTCAAATCGTCTAAAGTATTTTTTTGGATTTTTTTTTTTTTGCGCTTTTGGGTTGCGTCTGGGTCATATTTTGCGCTTATGAGCTATAGTCGATTTTTATTTTATACATAAAACTATATTTGATATGTTCCTCTTAAGTCCAGATTTAGATTAGTGATCTAAAATATTTCAATAAAATGTTAGCGAAAATAATAACTATTATGCAAAAGGATTTCGAATGTAAACAAACATATACCATAGAATCAATGAAATAAAATTAACTAAAGAAGTGGAATTATTGCATAACATAATATCATTGTTTTGCATGTGTTCGAATGCAAATTAATGTACATTATAAAGTGACCATCACTCAACCGTAATAACAGTTTTGGTCCGAACGTATTGTACCATTAAAACGAGGTAAATCTGACCCGAGGAACATGTTTGTATTGTTATAATGTATGTTGTACATGATGCAATATAACCGTGTTTCAAAATATATTCATTCATTGGTGAATAGATATTTATCTTTCCGAGCGTAGACGGATTTCGACATCTCGGAACTTTTATGTGCAGTACTAGCGATGCATAGGAAATTCATATTTAAAATTGTAAATGTCCGCTGTTCGGGATGAAATGCCATAAGTAAACCGTTTACCTGCAAGTACGAATAAAATTATTGTACACTTTATTATACACGTATTATACACTTTATATTGAACGGTATAATTACTGCCCTGGTGGTTTTTTATCGCTCGAACATCGATCCTTTTTGAGCACGAGAAACGTTTCGATGTCCGAAGCGTTTTGTTCCCGGTCTAAAAGTTTACCGAATAAATTATATATTATATAATAATAATAATATAATGTTTAATTTTACCGGGAATCATTGATGTACGTCGGTACCGTGAAACATGTCCGGTTCAGCTAATGTTCCGCGTTAATTACATATTTATATAATTAACTTAAAAATAAGTAATCTACTAAGAATGTAATTTTGAAATTCCTAAAGTAATACGCAATAATCCGAAAACGTCAATCGTCGATATTTTAACATTATCATTAATTCATCCCAGTGCTGTTATTATTGCCGGCGTTATACCTTTGTTATGAATTACTTATCGCATCCCGCTGGAAATATCGAACATCGCTGTTATAGAGATTTCACACGAGAAAAATAAAAAAATTTGAAATATTAATTCTGCGTAGATGATTGGTTATTTGCAGACGACGTTAAAACAATGACATCAACAAAACAGTCACCTTTCTCAAACAAACCAAATTGTATAATTTAATATAAAAATATAATGTAATTTTTATTTTCTATTTTTTTCCCTAGTATTAAGCGCTAATAACCTAAGTCGTTGATGCTGAAACATGAATATTAGAAAAAAAAAATAAATAAATAAATTGGTTCTACTGGTGTTGAGCTACGAATATTTATTACTAAAATTGTCGTTTAAATCGTTGTTTCTCATCTGTTTAGGTTCGACGGCGGTAGCAACGCGAACGTCCGACCGCGTGGTTCTTGACCAGTCATTAATCCGTCGTCATACCGTACAAAAAAATGTTACATTACATTATTTGATCTAACGAACGATACAAACAGCAGGAATACGTTCCCCAGGTCCACGGTTCTACGGTGGTACACGTAACCCAAACGGTAAGTGTTGGCTATGTTTGTTAACCTAACCCTAACCTAACCTTTACGTGACCGGGTGCAGGTTCGGTAGCCCGATTTAATAGATTCCTTATCCATTTCTCCTTTAAAAAACGTTTGACCCCGTTGAAACCAATATAGTAAGCCGGTCTGTTTAGAGACTGACTCAAAACGTTTTGACGACAAAATCACCTTTGCTGCTGTTCCACGTCTGGTAAGGTAAATTTGAAGTAAAAATAAATAGATACTTTTAAGAGTATAAATGTTATTTATTAATACCGAGATAAAACGTACTGGGTTAATACAGTCACGTACAGGACAGTTAGGTACCGTCACGATCGGCTGACGCATGTGCGGTACGATCCCTGCGGGAAGGAGAACACGTACGGAACGGGAACATGTCAGGTCGGGATGTGGTTTCGACGCGCGCTTGGCACGTGTGGGACAACCGGAACGCGTGTTCGTGGCTTATAATGATGTTGTGTTATGTTATATACCAGATCTTATTCTAATGGGCAGTACGACCCAAATCGGGTAGTAGGAAAAATCAAAAGGGCAATTGACTTTATGAATATGGGCACATTACAAAAATATGATTTTCCTTATAGAATGATACTCTACTGAGTATTTGAAATTTGTGTAATTTATAAACCCGACCTTAGTATCTACTCGTAATAAGTAATAATTATGTAAGTTTACAATCTTTGCTACTTCGATGATTGATTAATCTATGGAATAGAAATACGAATTACGATTAGGTACTATCTATGTTATCGGCTAAGCGTATAGCGACCACATAGACCATTGTACACGCATTAAAGCGCACGGATACGAATAACCACCAATTTTATCTTTTGTTCTTAGTAGATTCTATAAAATATAGAGAACGAAAAAAGTACTATACGCAGCAAATTTCATTATTATAATCTATAACTTTCGTCACAACGTTCCGGTCTTTCATGAGTGTATGGCGTGTAGCTATTTTCAAATTTTTCAATGTGTTTGAGCAGTAGGTAAAAATCCTTGAAATAAGCCCTGTTATATACTTACGAGAACCTCGCGTTATTCACGAGTTCACCGGATGCTTATAAAGGATACGAAAGTGACGAGATATTGTGTGCAACAATAACAAAACCGATTCCGAACAAAAGTCATTGTAACGTATTTACGTGCCATACAATTTATGCCATTTACAACAATGTAGCGATTGTAACGGACGATAATAGGTGTAATGATCGCATCAAAATAATAAAAATAAAAAATATATTAAAAGAATACTGCAAATCTCAGGAGTTAGAAGGCACAATATTTGATACCACAAAATCGGTCAGAAAAATTATCCGAATATTTTTCGATTTTCGATTTTTTATTCATCACGGTATGGCCTTATATAATACTCGTATCTTCGAACAATAGAACACAAGATCATAACATGCGTCTTAAATCGAATTGGATAAAAATGTTAACTTGACGAAATTTATTATACTTCGAAGATGTGATTTTTTTGATTTTTTCAAAGCTTAACACAAAAAAAAAACTACATACTTGTAATGGGAATTGTTTGCGAGTTAGAATATTAATTGGTATAGTTGTAGAGCTTGTACAAGATGTTCCCTTTCGTTTTAGATATATGTTAATTGTTCTTATAAAACTAGTCGCTTTTTATAATTATCATACCCGATTGTAATATAATACACTAATAGAATGCGTATAACATGTTAATCAGAAATCAATAGCTTAATCAGTTCAACAATATTATACGTGTAACCATTAGGGTGTATCTGTATTATATTCGGTAAAAATATGTCGAATATATTAATGCGCACTTTGTTATTTAAACATCGCAATCGTTTTATTTAGGATAAACGTTTTATAATTTATACTTTGTAATAAATATATTTACAATCTATACAATGTAATATAATAAGTGGGTAAACCTTATAAAATAAAATTATATTAAATTAGTTAAATGTATTAAAAAATAATATTTTCGGACAAAATAAGAAAGATTTCCAGTGGTACCACTCAATAAGACTTTTAATATTTTTGATTTAATTAATGGGTTCTTTTTTGTTTTGTCTTGTAAATGATTATTCATAAGCCTTAAGGCACATCTTTTGGTCATCATTTTTCTAGTCTTACACTCTGGAATAGGCATTTTTGTAACATAGTATTGTTTTTCAATTATTGCTTTAGTTAGTATGTAAACCTATGGTAGAAATATTGAATTTTGTTATGACACATACTGAAAAAAGTTCACAGTTCAAAAAAAAAAAAAATAATAAATATAATCAAGTTCAAATCCAAAACGTTACGTCAGATGTCACACTCGTCATCATCATGTCTTACACTCAATACAAACAAGTGAAACGCACCGTTTCCTTAACAACGATTTGGTTGTCATAGTAAATTCATATACAATTGTAATCAAAATATAAATAAATAATAGTACCAACTGATTCTGCTCTTATTTACACATCTTAGTCTACGAGTTCTGGATGTTAGATATCATGTTAGTAATATTGTTACTGTCAAGTGACGCCCGAAATAATTCAATCTATGTCAAAACCAATCAGATAAATCCACTTTTTTGAAATTGTTCAGGGTTCTGATAAAAAAAGTTTTATTCTATAATTAATCAATGCTAAAATTATTATAGTTAAATTTTTCTATTATTAAACAGTGCTCGACTTGAGGGGGAACGTAGGAAGATGGAGTGTTCTAACTTTCTAACTAATTTTCAGAAATTTTAGCGTCCCCCTACTATTATTTCGTTATAAGTATAACCTTTAACAAGTTTTGGGGACGCTCTTTTTTTTTTTTTAAGTAATCAGAGTCCCCCTTCTTTAATTTTGCTAAGTCGAGCACTGTTATTATTACACGATGATAAGTATTACTATAAATTTTGATTTTAGTTACGTTTTTTATTTTTATAAAAAAAGTAGTTTAAATTTATGGATCAATGTAGTTATTGCGCCTAAAAAAATTTTTTTTAGGGTATACCGATAGTAATTCAAAAAATCAATTTACCCAAATATTTTAAATCATAATAAAACATTACCTAAAGTTAAAACTTTAAAACGATTTAAAAATTGAATTATAACCAAATAAATGACATAAGAATAGATTATTACAACAACAATAATATCTAATGATTGTTTGGTAAAGTTAATAAAATTTACTGTCACAGGATTCCTTTTCCTTTTTATTTCCTATGATAAAATATTAATGTATAATAAAAAAATCATAAAAACTGTTATAGAAAATTATTCATTTAATTCTAACTCTAAAATATAAGGTTTGGTACATACCATGTGACAAATTGAAGCGAATACCATATAAATCTGGATTTGTTGTACCAAAAAAAAAAAAAAAAAACAAGATAAATTCAATCCCATTGTAAAAAAATATGTTTATGTTTACCGGATTTATCCGAGCGTTGTTCCAAGCCCTTAATTTAATCATTATTATCATATCGTAATAATACGATTTACATAATAATTATTATAAAACGGTAACGTAAACGACGTGTAATATAGTTCAATAGATGAGCGGTTAGAGATCGTAGACGTGTGTGCGTACGTCAATCATCAATAATTATATTATTATAATTGGACAAATAATATTAACTCCTGTGCGTGTTTCACGTCATCCGAAATAATCAATAATAATCTGCGGCGCACTGCACACGTGCGTTATTCTGTTTGACATCCGTAAAAACAGTTCGGGACTAACGCGTATACGTGTCTGCAATATTAGGAAAAAGTGTCGGAAAAAATTAATATATTTTATTATAAAAATAAACAAAAAATAAAATAATAATACTTAAATTAAATAATAAAAAATTAGTCAAAAGTTCGTTTTCTTATGTTATTACCTATTTTTAATAAAAACTCTTGCAATGTAATTTCATTTTTATCTATACAAACACACAGTGTTTTTAATGGACATTGCATTTGTTCATGTATTTTTTTTTTCAATTGCTTGTTTATCAGTTTTACTTAATCATAATTTATCTGTGCTCAACTCCCGTATCCACAAATAACTTTGATTTATTTTCATGTATGTTAAAGAAAAATATTATTCAAAACTAATTAACTTATTACTAAATATTATTTTGATTTTTTTTCTCATGTAATATATATGCAATCAGATACTTTTTTCCGAGTACTTTTTTCCAGGTGCTTTTTTTCCTGATACCATTTCTGCTATCCGATCCCGGTGTGCTTACGCCGCGATAACCCGACCCGAACACGACTATAATAATACTCAAATATCTTGAACGCGTGAAAAACCTAACGATGGGATTGACAATAACATTTCTGCAGGACATCGCACGTCGTAGGGTTTGTCGAATAAAAAACTGTTCGCGCGATACGTAACACATAGATTGCGCCGAAGACTTGTCGTCCTACAATCGTAATCATTGCACTACGGTAACAACGGCATGAAATTATCATTGCCAATAGTGTAGTCGTATTGCGTAGCTGCACGATGATAACGATCAGGGGCGGAAATAGGGGTGGAAGACGGGGATTCATTCCCGGACGTAAAATTTTAGTGGGTGTAATTTTTGTAATTATTAATAACTAATTCGATATTTTAAACTTTGTTAAACACTGATATTCGGTTAAAACTCAATATGGATGCATGTATATTAATTATTAGAAAAAAAATCTCGAGAAGAGTATTTGATTATTGGTCTATGATATGGCGTAATTTTAAAATTTTCTCCGGTCGTGAAAATTCCTAGTTTCACCTCTGATGACGATGATAATAATTGCGGAGCCGTTGGCGGAACGGTCCCTGAGCGCCGTAGTCCTGGACTGAAGGAGCTCCGTCTCACTTAAATTAAATGAAAATCCTTTAACGTTCCTTATTAATTGCGCACCAGTTGTATTACGCGCGCGGTGACGTCGGCGGCCTCGTTTCGCCACTTTCGCCGTAATTTACGACCTCCTCCTCCTACTCCCTTTAAAAACATTCCTCGGACGAGTTCAGGT